AAATGGCCATTCCAACCTCCATTGTCTTTGCAGGCAATGCTCATCTACTTACACTACCATCCGGGGTTGCGGCCGCTGGCGGGGCTCTATAGTGAAGCCACTAGGCAGAACGAGACGAGTGAGTTCCGTGAGCAATCAGTGAGCATTCATCAACGAGAGGTCAAAATGCCCGGACCGCAAATGTGCACTGACTCCGAGGCTAACCTCCGTTCTTAAATTAACTCGCTGACTAGGAAGCAGTACGTGCGACAATCCAAAATGAAACACAAAAACTCTCGAGGGCTTACAACATAGAAAAACGTTATCTAACCAGACGGAGGTAGTAGGGAGACGTACTTCACCTATTATTGTTTAGATTTAAACTTCTGGATGGGTCGCCTAAATATAAAACAGGAGGCTTGGTTCTCATCTTACGCTCACAAGATCGGCAGACACTATTTCAATATTCGGCTATAGGATGTACGTAAAAAGAATAAAAACTACACTTCATTCCAGGAATAAGAAACGGACACTCAACGGGGACTACAATTTGTAGCACATTTTGCCGCAGTCCGTAGGTTGAAGCAAGACATAATATGAGCAATAAGATGGGGAAGCTAACCGAAACAAATAGAAAACGCCTATGTGGAGTCAACCTCCGAATTCAGAGGGCTTGCAGGCGTAGCACAGGTGTGAATTTGGGGAGGTTTGGGGACAAGCCGTCTGTCTAACAAGATTTTTCGATTATGTGTTTAGAATTCCCTGTCTGAGCGTATCTGATAGTGCGCATTCTAGATGCTTAGGTATTCTCGAAACCCTTAAGATAGTCAACGAACCTGAAGAAAATTTCCTGATTTACCTTTTCCTACCTGACTTCTAGAAGACTTTGGTGTCCATTAGGACTACATCCATAGGCAGTTTAAAGAAAAAAAAATTGCCGTTTGCTTGCAGCCCCACAAGGAAGAGGTAAGGGTTCATTATAAACAACACCGTAGTTTACTATTCAGTACAGTTGACTTATTATATCATTTGCTTATTATTTAGTTTGGTTGAGTTAATTATGTTATAATAAACTACGTTGTCGCTCATAAGGTATCCTTACTCTGGAACAATTTCTAAAAAGTATAATTCGAGAAGGAAATTTTAGAAACCGAGAACGGTACCAAGAAGTTACCTTTGTCAGTCTAACCCCCTGCACTTTGCATTGACGCTGGACAGTTTTCAGTTCCAGTTGGCACTCCTTTAGTTCACGCTTTAGCTGCTCATTCTCGCTGCGGAGTTGAGCAATCATACACTGATTTGCTTCCCACACTTCCAAAGCTATGCCTCCGGGAGGCGGTCCGCTGCAGGCCGTGTGACTGTCCCGCCGAAGGATGGGACCGCCGAAACCTCGAGGTGGTCGCCTAGTTGAGTTGATACTACGGGGTTTCGTTCGGCGTTGCGGCCGGTGGTCTGCTTGACATCTGCCCAGCGGCGGTTTTGCAGCCGTTTGTGCAGTTTCTGTTTAAAGAACATAAGGCCGATGCATAGGAAAAAAATAAAGTTTCGAAAAACGCAAGCACCAACAAGAAACAGAAGGAAGTCATAGTTTGGACTCGATACTGGCTTTATAACGAGACGGCAAACTATCCCTCAGCACAGCAGCGTTCGGAAGAAATAACGGAAGTCACTGAGAAACGTTCAGGTTCAATTATGGGCGTTCCGAATGCGTGATCAATATGGCGAGACTCTGCACTGACGCAATCAAAAAAAAAGATATTCCAGCGTATTGCAGTCTTGTAGTTCAGTTATTGGTGAGCCCTGAGTGCCTACACAAAGAAAGAACTTTTAGTTTTCTGAGTCAACCCTGTCGTTATAATCAAGAACCGGATACTTGCATCCTATAAATCTTTTTTAAAGACGGAAGCTAAAAAATACATTAAAAACCGTGTAAGTTCTTATGCCATTCGCGTGTAACCGTGTACTAAATTAGCCACGATCGACGTTTTCGGATTTACTATAAAGTTTTATGTACACTTGGACGAATTAAAATGTATTTGTCTGAATAGCTGTGCAAATCAAATTTAGCAGCTGTACAACTTGCAATCAGTAGAAAACCTATATATTTGCTTAACACGGTCTACGGCCAATATATATTTTAGGATCAAAGTGAAATAACTAATTCAATGAGACTGCTTTTTACAACCCACTACATTAAATTTTTCAGAGCAGTGCAATAAAACTATATTTCCTGCCGAAATGAGTGCACCAAATAAGGACGAATAAATAAATAAAAAGATAAACGTTTGAAACGAGTACGGCAAGAAAAGCGCAGCGGGATAAGATGCAACGGGTTTTTATCTATCATTCTGTAAGTAATCAAAATCTTAATGGAAAAATTCGGAAAAAACTATAGCATAGGTATAAGAAAGGCCGTTTTCTGTTAAGCTGAACTGAACCGACTTTTTATTAAAGCATCAAGTGTGTGCATT